GTCGTTACGTCGTATGTTGAGTCGAGCTCAGCCGTCAGGAGAGGAAACCAGGAGAGGAGAGGGGAGGGAGGGGTGGGGGAAGGGATTTGGACTTCCGAAGGGGACCCCTTCCCACCCCATCCCGAGGACGCTCACCCGGAATCGGCGCTCTGCAGGTTCTTGACGGAAAGGACGTAGCACGGAAACACCTTGCGTTTGTGCGTTTTCGTCAGATCTGGGGAGGGCGGGGGCGGCACAGGGAGGGAGAAAGAGACGGTTTAGCCGTGTTTGTCGGTGTGTGGGGTGTGTGTGTGTGTGATGCGTCTCCCCAAAGAAGGGGAGGGGGGCGTCTCCTAAAAAGAGGGGGCGGCCCATGTCTGGACAGAAAACTCCCTCCGGCGTTCGGATCAGAGGAGGACGAGACGTGAGCGATCCTCCCGTGTTCTGTCGGTTCTTTCGGGGGGGGGAGAAGGGCGGAGGGGACAGTTTCGGGCAGGCGCCGTTGGCTCCCCTCGCACCGGCGTTCCCGCACCGCGCCCGCCAGTTTGCAACCCAAGGTCGGGTTGTGGTGGGAAACGGCAGTATGATTCGGAACGAACTGGGGTCGAATCCCACCCGCTTGAGATCATATACCGAGAGACACGCTTAGTGGCCAATTTATTTGTGTGGGGGAGGAGGAGAGGGAGGGAGCTGGTCTGACACACACACACACACACACAACGCGCACCCATACCCACACAGAGCCTTCTCGACCTGCCAGAAGGTCCAAGGTGGCGCTCGGCTGCGCCAGGACCCGGTGCCGGTTCCGCTTCCAGCTGCAGCGGTTGGAGAAAACCTCGGTGGGGACGGAGTCGGACTCGACGCAGAAGGTGTCGCAGGCAGCCTTGCGCGGAAGAATGGGGAGGAGATCAGGGGAGGGGCCCACCCGCCGGAGGGACTCCCCCACCCACCCACCCGGGGTGGTCTTCTCCCAGGCAGGACACAGGTCGTCTTTGACTTCGGATGGGCGTGGTTTGGGGAATGTTTTGGAGTGGCGACGGGAGGGAAAGAAAACGGACGTCGGGGCCGTTGGTCTACCCGTTGACTGGAGGGGACACCTGGGCGGCTGACTGAGGGACGACAGTCGCCGCGTTCCGGAGGTTGACCAGATTTCACCGTCCGTCGAGCGAACGGGGGGGGGCGGGGGGGGCAGCCAGATCCGCTTTAATGACCGTCTCGCCGGACGAACAACGGAAGAGAGATACGTTTCGTTCCCCCCCCCGGCAGCCGGCCGAAAACCATCCACGATCTTCGCTCCGTGGACATGCGAGCGAGGAGGAAACCGCTGCGCGGACTCGCTTGAAAAAGGCGTGGGGGGGATAGGTCGTCCGCCGCAGGGCGGAGCTCGCTAGTGAGATCGTCTCCCTTGGCGATGGAAACAGGGCTCGTTAGAGTCGGGGGACACTTTTTCCACCCACCCACCGCCCCCGGATAGCCGTCGCGGGACAGCGAAGCCCCTCCCAAGGAGAGGGCATTTTGAGCGAACGACCCGATTCCCGCCCCCCACCGTCCGACCCGATTCCCGCCCCCCACCGTCCGACCCGGCACCTTGAAAACGCTGGAGGCCCAGGTGCGGAAGGACTCCTCCTGCCCACAGAGTTCGTCGCCTTCGCCCAGGGGCAGGATCCGCTCACCGCCGAGTTCCTCCAGCCGGGTGTCCACCGCGTGGGCGAAGGCGCAGAAATGGGGGTAGGCCCGGGATCCCAGCCCGAAGACGGAGAAACTGAGGGGGACGAAAGAGAGGGCGGAGAAAGTGAGACACGAAGAGAGGATGGAGAAACAGAGAGAGATGAAGAGGGGACAGAGAAAGTGAGGGAGATGAAGAGAGGATGGAGAAACAGAGAGAGACGAAGAGAGGATGGAAAAACAGAGAGAGAGAGAGAGAGAGGAAGAGAGGACATAGAAACTGAGAGACATGAAGAGAGGACGGAGAAACAGAGAGACATGAAGAGAGGACGGAGA